CTCCCATTCGGTTGTAGATACGGTTGACTCTGTTTCTGAAGATATTCCTCTCTCCCTCTGTGTTTCTAAGTCTGATCTTGAAAGTGCTACACCCAGACTTATCAACAGTGAGGAAAGATTTTCCACAAATGAGGACACAGCTAATCCCAGTTGTACCCCAACCCCCCCAGCTGCGCATCCTGAACCCTCACTTACACCCCCTGCCAGCCCTGGAGCTACCCTAGATGTAGAGGAGGCTAATACCAGCGTTTCACAGGAGTTGCGAGGCAGGGCCACATCCAATATTAAAGAGAAGAGTGAAGACACCAAACCAAGAGAGCCACTTTTATTGTCCGAACCAGAGCCTGGAAAAGATGCACCTATAAAAGAGGATTGTACCCCCCTAAAAAAGCTGTCTGATAACCCTGAGTCTTCAACAGCAGCGTCAACACCGCACGCCCAGCCTGCTCGACCCGACAAACCCTACAGCTGTTCCCAATGTGGAAAGGCGTACGCCAGCCGAAGTGGACTTAAGGTAACTTTAAATAATTAAACATTCAACCTATTCTCATTATGAGTGCGTATGAAATCGTACGAAAAGTTATGCACCGTAATTTCGTACGTTTTGGACCTTTTTTTCGTCGTACGTGCATGCGCATTTGACGCGCCATTCACGAATATAGAATATAAATTACAATTAGCCCTAACCCTGACCCTGTACCTTACCCTAAAATATAAAACAGCAAGCAACGTAGTTAGAGACATGAATAAGTGCTGATTGCACTGTTTTTCCCAATTTTACGTCCGTCCACGGATCAGCTTTTTTTTTCTGTCTGCCAGCGCATGCGCACTGATGTGGTTTTTTGAGGAAAAATGTCCAAAGCGTACGAAATAGTGTGCATAACTTTCCGTATGATTTCATACGCACTGATAATGAGAATAAGTTGAAACATTTGATCATAGTTATAGTTATGCATTTAAACTCTTTGCTAACTGGTTGTTGTGTTTAATCTCGCCGACAGGGCCATATGAAAATGCATCCTGGAGTGTCAATGAATGCCCCAGGCAAGGTTCAAACCAATGAAAGTGACCCTTCAGAGGATCGTAGTACGGCAACTAAAACCTCTGAAAAACAGGAGGAAAATAAGGGACTGGCCCCTGAGAAAGGTGACAGCATAGATCCACTCCTCACCAGTGGTGGCTCTGATGTGACCACTGAAACTGTGGACAATACAAAATAGAATGTGCTTCAGTAGATCCTGACAAAGGGAATGTATTCTTAGAATAAGACTGTTTTTGTAGAGTCTGTAACTCTAATTTCATATTTAGAATTTGTATAAGTCAAATAGTTATAGGTTATTTTTAGAACTATGACAGAAAAATTGTGAATGTAGTATTCCTGCTGTCTATTTTTGTACTTCAAAGACCACAGTGAGGCCTTACCTTCAACGCATTGTCCACCCTTGCTGACACATTTCAGGATGTACAGTATAATATCTTATGAGTAGTATCCATTGATTTTCTTTGTTTTTGAAGAGTGTCCAGACGTTTCATACCAAAACAGGCCAAGTTATAAATGGCCCCTGAACTGTACATACATGCTCCGGTTGCCTTTTAAAAATTGTTTTCTATCCTTTGTTTTAATGCTGCTTAATGCGTGTTTTCTGATGTTGCACTGTGAGCTGCACTGTGTCCAAACATCTGCTGAAAGAACTCACCCCTGCAATGATTGTATTACCAGTTCCCTACGGTTACAGTAAAACCTTTTATTTTAATGACAGTGAATGTCTTCCCCATTTATGACGGTGCTATCTGCATTCTAAAGCCCCCAACAAGGATGAACCCTGTCTCCTTCCTGCTCTCTCTACTTGTTCCGCTGCTTTCTCAGCGGACTTGAGGGTGCTTTACTCCTGCGTAAATCGTATGCACTCACTAGATTCTCCGCTTTGCCCGGTTTAGTATTTGTATGCTTTGCCTTCTCTCTGCAGCCCCCCTCTCTCCTTTTCTTGTAGCAGTGACAGAATGTGTTCCCACGCTACCCATGTGACGTTGAAAAAAGTTAATAAAACAATGGCAATGCAAAGCGGGGACTGGTTTGTTACCTTTTTTTGGGCCTGTTCTTGTTTAAGTCTCTGTCTCTGGGAATTCATTTATCTGTTTAAGCATTCTGCTTGCATGACTCTTGTTCTCTGTAAGCCTGTATGCACTCTGTTGGTCAGTTTTCCCTTGTTTGTTCCAGTTCTGTGTGTGTGTGTGGATTGGTGGAGGGAGGCTGGGTGGGTGGGGGGAATCCTTTGTTTGAGGAGCTGGCCTGGCTGTCTCCTAATTCTGTCTTTTAAGCCCTCAATGTCTTATAATATGTTGCAGTTCCCCTGCACTGTGTATGCGTCTGTGTGTGTGTGAAAAGAATAATCAGAGCCTGTATGAGTGTTATTGAGGGTGCAGCTGTAGAGGCAGTCACCTCCCTCCCTCCCTCTCCTCGTGTCATTCTCTCTTTCATACTCAGTCTCTTTCATTTTCTCTTTCATTTCCCTCCATCGCTCTCTGCATTCACCACATCATCCCCTCCTTCCCACCCCATGTAATGAGCTGACACACAGGAAGCTCTAATCCTCTCACAATGCCTCCCCCTCTCTCCCCCCTCAAAAAAAGTGACTGGAAGCGGGACAGGGGGCAACAGGGACCAACCTGGTCCAGCTGTCCCCAAAATGGCCGCCTTTAATCCCCCCCACCCCATCCTTCCCTAGTATTTTTTTTTTCTTTTTGAGCCTGCAGGGGATTCAGAAACCATGACGACTGGTAACCAGGGGGAAAGAATGGCCAAGAGTGGAGAGCGGGACAAAAGGAGTGAAAGGAGCCATGTGTGAGAAGTTTGTCCACATGCGTTCATGAGTGACAAGAGACGTGTCTCAATCAAAACGCAAAGAGTGAGAAAGTCGGAGGTTCTTAGTATCCCAGGCAAAGTTTCTGTGAAGGCACTAAGGTGTCCCATCTTTGACTACATTACTCTCACATGACACATCAACAAACATTAATCACCTCTATATGACCATCAATCATCCACAGTGAAACCCTTATAAAGGTCTGAAAGGGCACATTTAGAGCCCATTAATGATGAATCAACCCTCATTTGGAAGACAAAGCCGAGGCTATCTCTTCATTGGTCCCTAATTCATTTGATCACAGTAATTAAAGCTGCCATTCAAGCGAGACATGAGCACATCCTCAGATCAGTTACAGATAAGGATGTGGGTGCGTGCTCTTTGTGATCACTTACTTATTTCTGTTTGGAAAAGCTGGAGCTCCAGACGCTGCCCCAGTCATGGCAAATGTTTGTTTCCCAAAAAGATAAATAAATATAAACAATCTGTTGCATTCTACATTCTATCATACATAACAAAGAGGTAACAGAGATATTGTGTTATCGTCTTTTTGACATGAGTTTTACAAAAACTTGATTTGAAGAGTGTGAAAAGAAAAAACAAACATGTAAACAATGTTAAATCTCTAAATAATCGTTTTGAATTCTGAATCCAGTGTGAAAAAATACTTTTAAAAAGTTATGTAAAGTTGAATTGGAGATGTTATCAGGGATCTGGTTGATCCATCCATCCATCCATCCATCCATCCATCCATCCATCCATCCATCCATCCATCCATCCATGCATCCATGCATCCATGCATCCATGCATCCATCCATCCATCCATCCATCCATCCATCCATCCATCCATCCATCCATCCATCCATCCATTCCCCATTCATACACTGTATAATAATGATCATATTCCTAGACAGCATATGGGACAAAAAGTTTTTAAAGCATGGTAGATTAAATAAACTACAACGCCTTTTAACATAATCCCTAGACTTGAACTTCCAATTCAACCCTCTTAATCTTTGATTTCGGAATCACTTGGATTTGCCAAGTGATATGTTCAATAAAAAAAGCTAATAATGTTATTATTTAGAATACAAGCTAAATAATCACAGTATGTTTCCCTGCATTTTCAAACACTGTCACAACTACATGAGGATTAAAAAGCAACATTAACAGGAACCTACAAACAAAAAAAACATTTGTATGTAAGGGAGATTAACGGGATTTTAAGTTCTGCATTAGTAAGGATGTCTCATTTTTCTATTTAGAGTCCTACCCTGTAACTTTTTCTATAATTAGGGAGGTGCATGGTCAAAATAAATATTACAGAGATAGTTAATCGTTATGCTAAAGTGTAAGAATATATATTCTTAACTTTGTTATTTTTTATTACCTAAAAATCATTAGAAAGAACAAGTCCCAATGATTTACTGGTTTAAATCATGATTTTAACTGTAAAATCTGCTCTTTAACAAGATAATAAGTACAGAATGCAAGCGTTATAAAATAGATATATTTCCAAAGAGAATCTGAGCCCCAGTTTTGCTGAAAAGCTGAACAAATATAGGCCTTCTCACTTCCTGCAGTTTCACCTGAAGCCACAAGATGGAGCTGCTGCGCCCCGACTGTCATCCTCTTAAAAAAAACAGGAAAAGTTACAGTAAAATGTGACGCCACACTGACTACGTCATAAAGAAAATACTTTAAACGGGACAAAACTGAGACTGGAATTTTGTTTACCTGTAGTTTGTTAAAAAATATTCCACATTTCCATTTTTTTTAATTCTTATAAACGAATTTAGATTTTGGCTTATTTATTGCAGCTTACGAGTAATTTAAGAAATTATTACTAGCTATAATAAAAAATATAAAATTATTTTATAATCTTTCTTTAATAGTAACAGGAAATCATTAAAAAAGGGGCACTGCCCGATTATATGCGCAGTTTACCTGACAGCACCTTGTTGCTCACTGATAACAGCCCATTTTCCCCTCAGATGGTCCTATTAACACCTATTTGATGTCATGATAATCTCATCACGGGCCATTTTAATGTTCCAACGAAACCCGTTTTTTTTTTTTTTATACCCCCCCTCGCTAGGAGCACGTCAGAAAGAAGAAGCGCATAAAAGCCACAAGTGCATCATCAGCTGATCAGAACAGCGGCTGTGAGCTGAGTCAAAACAAGAGGAAACAGCAGCACAAAGGCAGAGAAAGGAGGAACACACAGGAGGGGGGCTTATTATTGACTGTAACACTGAGGAGGAACCATCATATCTCAAGCTGGCTCCCATTACTGCGCAGAACCAGGACTATAACTGATCTCTGATCAGATCATAGGGACTGGCCCTAAAGGCAGAAGGTGAGTCTTCCTCTAACAGCTGTCTCTAATCTACTGTATTGAACTTTTTCCTAATGATTCACACAAGAGTAGCTGATAGAGAACTGAATCCATTCAGCCATACATCCATTAACATGTTTTGTCATTGCACATATAGGCTACCTGGTTGATTTCTGCATGTGTTGCTAAGAATCATAAAAATTCATGTTTGGTGATTTATTTTATTTTTAAGCCCAAGAAATCCAGTCAAAGTCTGGGAGAAATACCTCAGAGTGTTCTGAGCTGCAAAGGTGAGACAAAGATATAAATCTGTGTTTTATTTATGCTTTATTTTGATGTACTACTGAATGATTGATTTGAGAGAGGTGATTTTTTTGGATACACAATGTAACTTTGGAGTGCAGAAGACTTACTTATCAGCAGCTTGTGGACCTTGCTCTTGATCTGTAAGAGCCTCACCTTTCTGTGTCTTTGGCACATGAACGGGCACTTAATGCACCGTCCTTCTTCACAGAGACTCCTCCATGAGGCCACGTGCTGCTGATCTGCTGCTTCTACCAGGTATCTGAGACGTTTAAGGCTTTTACTTTCTCTCAGAGAGCTTCTGTTTGATGTTCACTCTCACTTCCTGGTGTCTATCAGTGTCAACGTTCAAATCTGGTCTGATCATCCTCTGTGGTCCAATTGGTTCCCTGCTTTGTATGTTTTGTTTAGCTTTAAACTCATTTTCAAACCTTCATCTGTCTTTTAGTGAAACTGTTGAAATGGTCTTATTTTTTTAAACCTTTTAATGCATTTCTGAATATTTTTTAACATGATCAAATCAGACACATATCGATTTTATGATGTAGCATTAACATAAGGTACATTAGTAGGACCAAATAGTAAAAAACACTGAATGTGGAATGCAATAGTATGCTATTCTCTAAAATCATGGTCGCCATGTCTGTTAGGAACTGTTTTCTACCAGCTTTGTGCATCTAGCCCTGTAAAGCCAAGTCTACCACATTTGATACATGAGTTCTTAAGACATCTGCATCATCACTGTGACATTTTTCTTCTTGAAAATCCTGATTTACACAATCAGACACATGTAGTGAATGGAAAATGTATAAAAGATGCATCAATATTGATGCAGATAAATGATCTAACTCATACAAAATTTTAGTTTTTTTAATTTCATTTGGCAAAAGTTCAATGACAACTCTAATAAAAAAAACATTTTCCTGTCAATTATTTCAAGGTCCAGGCTTTAAAGGGCAAGAGAGATTCTTTCCTCATTTGTTTCTTTGCAATACTTTAATCTTCAGTAGATAATGGATGAAAAGGATCTGGCAAGAATAGATTTTAAAGTATGGTGGCAGATTGAGTTAGATTTTAGTTCTGGATTTTAATTGGACTGTTTTATCAGATTAATAATTGCTTTGGCGTTAGCGTGATTTTCCTCCTGGAAGGTGAACGTCTTCTTTAATCTCAGGTGTTCTGCAGCTCCTAACAATTTTCCTCCAGGGTTGGAGGAGTTTCTAGATCTATCTATTGACTCAGGAACCGCTTTCCTCTCCCATTCACCAGGTTTGATGTGTTAGTTTTTCTATGAAAGGGTTTTGCATGTACGTAACAAAATTCTGTTTTGGTCTCATCTGACCATAGAAATTAGAAATTTGGAGTTGAAAAACAAAATTTGCTGAATACATTAGTAATAGCTGTCATGACAACAGGTTCTTTCACCTGAGCTGTAGATCTCTGCAGCTCCTCCAGAGTTTCTATAATCCTCTTTGCTGCTTCTCTGATTGAGGCTCAGCTAGCCGGAGCCAGACCATCTGAACATCCATGTCTTAGTACACAATAAGTCCCACAGTGTTAAATATGCAGTGTTAATTTACCACCGAGTGTTAAATTTAACTCTTAAAGTGCTAATTTAACACTACAGAATTTTCAATGTAGGTCTTGAACGGTTATGTTATCTTTTAATGTTCAGATTATGAATTTAGCGGTGCTCTGTGGGATGTTCAAAGCTTAAGATATTATTTCAAAACCTAACTTTCCTTGAATCTTCTTCTCAACAGCTTTCTTATTCTCCTGTAAATCGTGTTCCTGAGTGCTCATGTCTTTGTTCTCTAAAGTCCTCCATCAAACTTCTAAGGCCTGCATTCATCTTGACTCTAGTTTTCTTATTAATTTGAATAAGATAGCTGAGATGGATTTTATTTAAAATCATCGAATTTAAGGGGTCCTTATACTAATGCATTCCCTTTATTTTACTTAATTCATGATTATTTACTACTGGTGCTGGTCTGCATCATAAAATAGAAGTTAAACACATTAAAGTTTGTGGTTATAATTTGACAAAGTGTAAATTAAGGGAAATCTTTTGTTGGGTTAAAGCTGGATTAACAATCAGAAACTGGACAGGACATGCTGCTCAGGATGTCCTCTTCATCGTCATCAGACTCAATGCATGCTGAGGATGATGACCTTTGGAAATCATGTGACCTGTGTCCCTACGCTGAAACTCTCAGACTGTGCGTGCATGTCTGCGTGGGCAGCTCTGAGGCTCAAACGTGCATCTCGCTCAGTTTCCCTTCCTCAGCTTTTGGTTACCAACCAGGCGCGTGTTTGCTTCTCCTCCCCGTCTCTCTGTCAATACACTCAACCTTAAAAGGCCATTTGCAGCGCGCCCCTAATGGCTCTCCAATCCTCGAAAAAACTGTTCTCCAATCCAGCAGTGTCCACAGCAGTGGTGTAATATGTTTTCATGTGTTATGTTCCTGGTTTAGTGACCTTGGAGTGTGAAACTTGTTTATTTCATAGGCTTTGAGCAAGTAAAAAATAAAAAAGGTTTGTTTGTTAGGTGTTTTTCATCAGGAATAGGTTTCCGTGGTTACAGCGTCACTGATATGTCCTTGTGTGTCTCCTCCACAGATGGCGGGAGATAAACACAGATAACTGAGGGGGAAATTTTAATCTTCAGCCATTTATTGAGGACAAAAAAGACTCTAATACAACAGGGAAAACTAATAACTGGAACTTGAACAATGGCATCCTACAGCTCAGCTCCCACACAGGAAGGGACCAACGGGGGCCCAGCATCTATAAAAAAGGAAAGCCCAGATGAATCCATGAAGCTGAAGAAGGAGATCTCGCTCCTGAACGGGGTCTGCCTCATCGTGGGGAACATGATTGGCTCTGGGATCTTCGTCTCACCCAAGGGCGTGCTCATCCACAGCGCCTCCTATGGTCTATCTCTAGTGGTGTGGACCGTCGGGGGGATCTTCTCTGTCTTTGGGGCCCTGTGCTACGCTGAGCTGGGGACCACCATCACCAAATCAGGAGCCTCCTACGCCTACATCCTGGAGGCCTTCGGCGGGTTCCTGGCTTTCATCCGTCTGTGGACGTCCCTGCTGATCATTGAGCCGACCAGCCAGGCTGTCATCGCCATCACATTCTCCAACTACATGGTGCAGCCCGTCTTCCCCACCTGCATAGCTCCATACCTCGCCAACAGGCTACTGGCTGCCGCCTGTATATGTAAGTAGATGATAGGAGAGCTAAATGAGAGTGAAGTGTTCATTTTACCACTGTGGTTGCACATTAGAGAGAAATCATGTGAGCTTTAGGGAGTGGAGAAGTGAAAGATGGTGACACCATAGCTGCAGTCAGCAAGTCTGCTGCAGGATTTCTTGCTGAGTTAAAAAGAAAAGGGGAACTGAGCTTAAACCTCACGAGTAATCAGGGGAAAAGTTGTTTTACTCAATTTAAAAAATCTCATAAATGCTTTTTCTGGGAAGTAAAGTTAATAAAACAACCAATCAGTTCTTATAGTGCTCACCTTGGAGGACTAGTTGAAAGGGAACTGCATACTGAGAGCTTATTAACAGGATATCTCATAGATAAGAAGTGTGATTCAAGATAAAATATGTTCACGTTGTGCTTCTTCGCAGTCAGAAATACTCCCATAGCCACCCACCTACCTGGAAGGAATGCAATAATGAAAGCACACTTTGAAGAAAAACACACACACACACACTTGGCCCATTCAGCGATAAGCAGCACTTAGAGGAGGAGCTGATAGCTGTGAGGTAAAGTCCTCGCTGCAGGGAGACTCTGAACTGAGAGGCTAACAGGCAGCTGACAGCTCAGCACAACAGTGAACCATAAAAACCTGCTTCCTGTTGGTCCATCTGAAAACAATCTGATCCAAACTGGGCATCAACAAAGTCTCAAAATCCAGCAGTAATCATGAAAAAAAAAACTTTTATTTCAAGTTGTAATTTTAGAAAAGTAAAGCAACTAATTAAGTAATTTTAGCTCTCATCCATCGGCTCACACCTCCAATCCCTAAGATTAACTCAGATTACCTGAACCACAAGCATCAATCTTTGTAGGATTATATGGTGCTGAATAATCTCAGCCTTACAATTTTAGATTTCATTTAGTCTAAAAACATATTATTCTCAATGGGAACATAAAGGTAGAGTATTTAAATCAGATTATGACCCTAATGTTTATATGCAGTATGTTACTAGACAGCAAAGTGGGAAGGCTTGGCACAGTATTACAGCAACCACTTGCCCACATTAATTTGAAAACTGCAATACGCTGGATATAATGCAACCGTTTTTGGCATTTACTTAATCATAATTAGTTACTTTAATACAATTGTTTTATGTTATTAGGATAGGACATAAAACAATTGTGTTAAAGTAACTAAATATGATTAAGTAAATGCCAAAAGTGGATGAATTATTTTTTTCAGTGAATTTTAAAGCTTAGACACTTTGAAGTAGATTCGTTAAATATCACAGTTTAGCCTTGGACATCTTAATTTTTTTACTTTGCCACTGAGCTTAGAAAGCTAATATATGGAACATCAGATTAGATAACTACTGCATGGACACAGCTGTCAACACATTATCTAAACCTGGCTGAGTAATTTCTGATTTCTTAAACCACCATATTAGAGGAGAAATCCTGTTGGCAGCATGAGAACAGTCTATATCTGTGGGGTCATACTGTTCTGATGGATTAGGCAGGGGTCACCGACCTTTTTAAGAGTGAGGGCTAATTCACGGGTACTGAGTCATAAGAAGGGCTACCAATACTGACTTATGAACTGGAGGAGTTTGCATTCACCTAAACTTTATAGATAATAAACATATTTCTATCGTTTCTTTTAATTTCTAATTTGCTTTTAGATGTTCATTTTGAAACCCCTATAAATGCTTTAATGCTCTAAATTATTGATATGATGAAATGTTTTATAAATGATAAAAAGTAAGAGCAGCAACATAAAATAAAATGTTAAACTTAGTCCGCTGATGAGTTGTTATGTTTTCAGAAGATACTGAGGGGACCCCGTGTGGTCCTTGAGGGCCACTTGGTTGCCGCGGAAACCATGTTGGTGACCCCTGATCTAAGGAGATTTAAAAAACTATTGAAAGCAAGTTAATAACTTGTTTGATTGTGGTTGTAAGAATATTAGAAGTATGATTGTCCATTTAAGGGTTAGGTAGTAGCAAAACTACTGTCTGAGTTTAATAGTGAAAGTAGGTGCATTTCTACATGCGGCGTTAAAGGGAAATGAAATGACACTAAGCAGCAATGTGACCTTAAAGAAAGCGCTGATCATTAAGGTTCATTGGAAAAGAAAGGCTGCAGTTTGTAACTAAACTGTGGAGAAATGGAAGTAGATAGTGTGTTTTCCTGCTTGAGAATCAGCGACACACGTGATGCATCATTAATTTGATCTGGGGTTGCTGCTGTTGGTCAGGTCCTGGTTCAGCAACATTATTTGGCCAAAAATCAGAGTCCACTGAATGCACTGAATTACCAGGATATCCCATCAGGGATTTTCTTCCCTTTATGGCAAAGTCGTAATGTAAGTTGACAATTCCAGGATCTGCAAGGCTCACAGTCACAGTATGCAAGACAGACTCCCTGCCTTAAACACTGCAACGAATAGAAATCAAAGTCAAGTCATTTTTTCTTAAAATAAGTGCATATACTCTTGAACTGAGCAGATAAGTGAGAGAATTGCCAATGAAATAAGACAAGTTAGATCTAATATAAGTAAAATCTTATTTTAAAGGGCAAAAATATTAATTCCATTGGCAGATCTTCTTATTTACCTACTCAAATTAAGAGTAAATACTCCTATCTTATGAAATAATTACTTATTTTTAGATAATTTTTGCATTGGCTGCAGAGAACCTTTGGGTAAAAAGCTCCCATCATCTCTACATCTCAAATTGAAATTAATGCAACTCTGAACAAATAAAAGGTGGTGAGAAAAGTCTGCTGCTCTATTCAAAGCAAAAGAGAAACAGTTTCCTGTGAATTTTTTATCGTTGGCTGCCAGTGCACTTCAGTTTTCTTGCGAATATTGATGCAGAATCCTCTTATTTTTGTTTACTCCGGGTTCCAGCAGTTTAGCTAGATTGTCAGAATTAATTTGCATTCAACATGACTTATATCAGTGTTTTTGACGGTCTGGACCCAGATCCAGCTGTTTCAGATTTGTTGTTTAGGTATTAAAACCCAACACCAGTCTTCAGGATCTTGACTCATAAACCTCCTCTCAAACCTTCCTCTGCTTCTGTGTGGGAACCAAATATGTGACGATTGGTGTTTTATTGTGTTTGACCACCTGTCCTGCTGAGCTCAGACTTGTTGTGATTCTCTGTCTTTAAAAACAAACTAAATTTTTTTCCCATGAAGTTTGTTAAATCAGAGGCAGGTGAAACGCAATCATGCCTCAGCCTCTTCCACAAACATCTGACGCAAGTCCTGAAGGGTGATAAGCCTAAATGTTAAGACAACTTGCACTGTCAGCTGGTTTGGAGGGCAACTTATTTTATCAGCCTTCATAAAAACTTCTGGAGTCATTGCGGAGATTTGCACAACAATTAATAGACCTGCTGGAGAAGGAGGGACATTAAAAAAGGACAATTTATAAAATGCAGCTATGATTTGCTTCTCTAGCTTCTGCCGTTACGATCAAGGATGGATTATTAGATGTTGATAAGAAGCAAGAAACTGTGACATTGCTGAAGGTGAAGTAAGGCAGCATGTCAAAGGAAAGCATTTGAAATCAATTTCTTCTATAGCGACAGTTCGTTAGGAGGTGTAAATAGCTGCAATCTCCAATAGTGACCTGAAATGTAAACTCAAAGGGTCAGTTAGGGTTTACAAATATTCCTCTTGACCTTTAAAGTCTCTTTCCCATGCCTGAGCGACAGGATTCACCACCTTTTTTTTTTTTTTTTTACATTTTGTCACATTATTCAAACTTCAACATGACGAGTTTAATTAAATCATGAAGCATAAAGTAAGACATATTTGTGAGCTAAATTAACAGGTCACACATTGGGGGAAAAACTAACTAATTTATTGAAAAAGAAAAGGGGTTTAACCTCCTAGCAAAGCTTTTTTTATTGACCTAAAGTGACAGAATCAGTCAGAGAAGCAGCTGTGGTAGCTCTGGAGGAGCTGCAGAAATCTTTGAGGTAGGGGGATCTAGAAACAGGACAAATAGTGGTTGCACCATCCATAAATTTGGCACATAATGGTAGATAGCTGTTTGTAAAGGAAAGCAGACAGAAATCTTGTTTGATGTTTGGCAAAAACTCTGGGGGGCTGGGTGGGAAGCAAACATAGTAAGAAGCCCCCTATGATCAGATGTAAGAAAAAAAAAGAGGAAACTTTTCTTTCAGAGGGAAATTTCTCTAGGAATATGACATCTCCAGGGTGAGGTGGTGGCAGCATGATACAATGGGAATTACTATACTTAAAAAGGGAAGGGGAAGCTGGTGAGAGTTAATGATAATATGCAAAATGAGAAATGCAGAGTAATATGGTTAATGGGCTGTACTTATACAGTGCTTTTTCAAGTTAGAAGTCTTGACCAAAGCCCTTTACACCACGTTCAGTCATTCACCCATTCACGTATACACTCACACACACTGCAAAAAAATGGAAATCTAAATAAGTCATTTTTGCTCAAATAAAGTGCATTTTTTCTTGAATTGAGGAGGAAAGTGAGACACTTTAGACAATTTACATTTAAAATAAGAAAAAAAAAAATTCTTTATCTTATTTCAAGTGTATATTATCTAATCATCTTATTTTAGCAGTAAAAATACTCATTCCATTGGCAGATCATCTTATTTACCTGCTCAAATTAAGGGTAAATACACTTAATTTAAGACATTTTTTTTTACTTATTTCTAGATGTTTTTTGCAGTGCACAGATGGGGGCAAACTACATGGTAGCTACAGCTGCCCTGGGGTTCCCTGAGAGAAGTGAAAAATTAGAAAAAGAGTTGTGACAAAGTTCCCAATTCCAGCATGTGGAGCGTCTAAACAAGTAACCAGAGCTCGGATGGAATGTGTTCAATCAAATTATGTTAATAGTGGTCTAGTCAAAGTCCACCCCTAAATCCAATACATGATACGCAAAAAAAACAACAAAAGAAAACAAAAACTGGACGATCGTCGAAGATGTTTTCTTTTCAATCTTAGTGAGGTTAAGCAAATCTTTAATCCATGCATTACTTTCCTTTAACACAGTTTAACTACTTTTTTGTTGGACTTTCTATTAAAATCCCAACTAAACTGTTGTAACGTGACAAAACATGGGAAGGTTTAAGTTTCTGAATCCGTCTGCAAGGCGCTGGACCTGTGGGTCTCAGTAGGCGAGCGTCCGCCTCTATGTGCTGCTCTCAGCTGTTTCCTTGCCTGACAAACAACAGGCCGCTCCGCTTGAGTCAGCAGCAGCGTTTCCTTAGATCAGCCACACGGAAACATGCTGGAACACACCAGTGTTTACAGCACATGTCTCCACTGAGACCCATTTGGGTCACTTGGTTTCTTTGTTGCTAACAAAGCGCTGCTCCCACAGGTTTGCTGACCTTTGTGAACTGTGCCTACGTGAAATGGGGAACCAGGGTGCAGGACTTCTTCACCTACGCCAAAGTCATCGCCCTCATAGCTGTCATCATCACCGGCCTGGTGAAGATCGGACAAGGTGCTCATGCAATCACCGCGCAGCCAATAAATGTCAATGATTAGATGATGATCATTTTATTTCTCTCCTGTCAGCACATTAAGACAGATTAATGATTACTCAAAGTGTTTTTTCTAATAATTGTGTGACTGTTTTGTGTTTCAGGTTACACCCAGAACTTTGACGGCATGTTCGAAGGATCCTCTCAGGATCCAGGACACATCGCTCTGGCTCTGTACTCTGCTCTGTTCTCCTACTCCGGATGGGACACACTTAACTTCGTCACAGAGGAGATCAAGAACCCAGAGAGGTGAGCAGGGCGTCAAAAAGGAGCCCAGTCCCTCATAAAAAAGTGATAGTCCTTGACATGGCACACTGAACTCTTTGTTGTACATCTGTTTTTAAGGTAATAAAAGTTCCTGCCAGAACCGTTAAAGATAACTTAGATTGGATTTCTGGTTAATACTATTTTAAAAATCATTAAGAAATTGTAGAAAGTTCTGCACCAGTACCCTCAGCAGCTAAATAATCCCATAGCATGATGCTTTCACCACTGTACTTGGTAACTGATACAGTGTTTGTAGGTTTGAGAGACTCGCTTTACCTCCTCTCATCATGGTTCTTGCTAATGTGACCAAAAGAGTCCAGTTCTGATCTTATCTGAACATTAAACCATTTTAAAGAAGATGGTTTTTATTCTAGAGCAGAACATTTTTTCTTGCTAAGGACCTTTTTAGTCCATGATAATATTTTTGATTCATTTGATACGGGCAGTTCCAATGGTTTGAATGGTTTCCAGTATAAGATGACATCCAAACCAAATTTCTTTTATTTTAGGATAAAACTTTTGGTCTGACAATATCAGCAGGTTGGTGTTTTATATATTTGATGCTTTTAAAATAAACTAAAAAAATACCCCACAGTAACAAAACAAAACAAAAATAAATAAAGTCCTTTTGCTTAAAGGGCCTATTAGAAAGATACATAACTCAGTTAAAAGAGCGAAATCCAACTAGCTCTCACTAAGGTCATCATCACATTGTAGTCAGGAAATTTATGTTTAAAATGAATGATTAACTGGTGAAATTTTGACTTTTAAACTATTTTAATTCAGATTTTTCTTTATATTAATATCAGATGAGCCAAGTAGCGTTCAAGGAGATTTTAACGTCCATTGTCGCATTAGAAGTGAAGCTAGTGGTCTGATATGATATAAGAAGGGCAGCACCAAATCAGAAAAACAAGTGTTCAGTGTTTTAATAATTATGTAAGCTGTAATGAAAAAAATATTAAACTTGGTAATATTTGTCTGTTTCTGGTGATATCTAGCCTATGCAGTTATTTTGTAAAAAAAAAAAATCAAAAAGGATTTTTCCACCTCAAGATTTTACTAAAAAAAGTTACTTCTGACAAATGTCTGCTGCTTCTAATTTATACATTTACAAGTTAATTTGCTTTAAGAGTCACTATATGTACTGCAGGCATAGGGAGTATAAAAGTATGGTACTTTAATAGAACCAAACGTTTTTGGCAATATGTTGCATAACTGTAACATTACAATGAAGATTAATTTGTGATATGGAGGATATATAATCTTGGTTATCTTACAGCATTCAAGTTAAACCTTGGAGAGATTTTAAAGATACTTATATTTTATGCGATTTAACCCTTTAAAACTTGAGGAACGGGGGAAATATGTGATGCTACCGACTAGTGTGCAAAACACAAACAATTAAAAATAAAAATACAGCATTACATGATAATTTTCCTATTCTTTGCCTTTAAAGGATCAGAAACAAAAAAAGGAGGTTAAACTTTTTATTTTTGATGTATGTACGCGTTTCTTTCAGACATCAAAACCAAAATACATTATTATTCCAGCAAATTATATATAACTTTCAAAGATTATCTTTATTTGATAAGTAAACTTCAATTATTTACTTACCTTTTCATTTTCTCAAATACTCTTCCAGTTTTTGCTTCAGTTGCCTTAAAATCAGCCATTTTCTGATCCTCAAACTCTTAACACACAAACTTTCCCAACATTTTAACTTTATTTCAGTCCATGTCTATGAATCCAGTCATGCTAAAATCAAAGTACATCCCAGTTTCTAAAAGAATGATAAACCAAGCTCATTATTTACCAAATCAAAATGAAAATATAAAGTGAAATAAGTGCACCCCGAATCTATAGATACATAAAAAATGAGTAAAATCCTTTTGTATAAAAGACGTTTTTCTTCTTTTACTTTCGTAAATTGAACTAAATCAATACATTGTTATATATTTAACAAAGAAATACTTTTTCATTCAGTGAATCAGAATCAGTTAATTTGAATCAGACTTGTTGATATTGTTGATCCTAGAAAACAGCAATTGCTCTAAAGTATATTTGCATAAACCGCTGCCCCATCCCCATCTTCAGCTTCCGGTATTGGTTTTACCATATGAGCATTATATATTTGCTCTCTGCCTTGAAGGTTAAAATCATATTAGGCAGTAGAGCAGCTAATCGGCAGGATTTTATTTAAACAGAATTAAGTGCAGCAGCGATCAGATGGGGGACGTCGTGTTGATAAGGAGGTGCTCTGTGTTTTCCTAGTTATTGTAGATCTCAGGTGCACAGCAGGTGCCATCTGTGGGCCAGGACCTTTTTTTAAGCAAATCACTGCTATTTCCTGTTACTCTTTTCCAAGAAAAAAAAGAGTTCTCATGGTTACTGGAAGTGTGGACCAGTCTTAGGAAGGCACCACAGGTCAGGACTAAACAAACCTTTGGTCAGCCATGCAGACTGACTTGAACACACATATGCAAAGAGCTAAAAGTTTTTCTCAAGGTTTTTGCATTTGCATTAATGTTTGAAATATGTAAACATATTTTATTGCATTTCCATCCTCCTGTTTTGCTTCTTTGTTTAAAGAGTCATCCTAAGGAGCCCAAAATAAATGCATTGATTTAGTTCCTTATTAATAAACCTTTTACCAGCATGTCTGCACTTTTACTCAGACAAAGACCAGTCAGGTTTCCTTCCTTCTCTCAGGGTTCCCAGGCAGATTAGGTATCCAGCAGGTCATCCCTCTCCCCCTCTCTGACCCACTGGGCTGAATCTAATGTCCATCTCCTCTGCTTTGCTTCCCCCTGCTGCCTGTTTCTATAAACTGCAGGAATCTGCCCCTGGCCATCGCCATCTCCATGCCCATCGTGACAGTGATCTACATCCTGACCAACGTGGCTTACTACACCATCCTCCCTATCAACGCAATCTTAGACAGTGATGCCGTCGCCGTGGTGAGTTTCAGTAGATCTTTACCTCCATGAAGGGATCGATTCAGGATTCATACCCGCTGTGGTTTCTCTACAGACTTTTGCAGATAAGGTGTTTGGTGTGATGAACTGGACCATCCCCTTGGCTGTGGCCCTTTCCTGCTTTGGTGGACTGAACGCCTCCATCGTGGCGGCCTCCAGGTGAGGGATTCAGACTCCAGGAAGCAATAAAAACCTCACTGTTCGATACAGCACACCTAATCACACACACCCTTTTCATGTTTATGTAAAGGTTGTTCTTCGTGGGCTCCAGAGAGGGCCACCTGCCTGACTTCTTGTGCATGATCCATGTCCACCGCTACACTCCCATCCCTGCCCTCCTCTTCAACGTCAGTCAGCCTTCACATCTTCTTTCCTCAACTTACATTTAGCACCAACCTTATTTATCTCATAAAGGTTCCTTCTTCTTTTCTGTAGGGCTTTATGGCTCTTATTTACCTGTGCGTGGAGGACGTCTTCCGGCTCATCAACTATTACAGCTTCAGCTACTGGTTCTTCGTCGGCTTATCTATTTTAGGGCAGCTTTATCTTCGCTGGAAGCAGCCCGATAGAGAGAGACCACTGAAGGTAGTTGAGTTTCTGAAGGTAGTTTCAATGTTCAGATTCAGTTCTTCGTCTAACTATGTCTCCCTCTCTGCCATCCTTCCTACAGCTCAGTTTGTTCTACCCCATCATTTTCTGCCTCCTCACCGTCTTCCTGGTGGTAGTCCCCCTTTACAGCGATACCATCAACTCCCTGATCGGGATCGGCATCGCCTTGTCAGGAGTGCCTGTTTATTTCCTCTGCTGCTACACGCCGGCCAGTAAGAGGCCGCTGTGGCTGCGCAGCTTTATTGGTAAGCCGGACACAGGATTCACTCCAATAAATAATAATTAAACTTTATTGATCTCACATTAGAGAAATTTACCCTTGCATTTAACCAATCCCCTTGTCCTAAACCACTAGGCTGCCACACTCAATAAGAAATGGAAGGATTATAGGAACTTAAGGATGGTATCATCTTGGGTAGTCTGTTTAAAAATCCCTACTTTGCTTTAAAATATAGCTTTGTTGAAGCTTTATTTATTGAAATCAAACCAAAGCAGAAAGGGAATCCTGTATTTGTTCAACCTTTCTGATTCAGTTCTTTGAAGAATCTCCTTTCTACACATTTGCAACAGCTAATAACTTGATGAATTTCTAGACAGCAGCTTTTCAGTTTTACCACTAACTTTGACAGGATTTACATTTTAACTTTGAGTGGATCCTAACACTTGGCTGTCTGGGTCTAAACTGCCTTATTTTACCCATTCAGGCTCTATTATTAGGGACACTGTGCTGCTAAAAAGCAGGACTGGCCAATTAAATGTATTTGCAATATAATTGCAACTTAACTAAATGCAATTTTAAAACTGCATAGCCACATTAAATTTCTCACTCAAGTCTTTTAGGTGACAGTAATGTGCTTTAACTGGGTTTGTTGCCAAACAGAAGGGAAAAGAGAGTTGAAGCTAGCGCAAATCCAGGGTAGCACATTTTCACATGGAGTTACTGTAAAGATTCTGAACAAGCAAGCTTTCAAAGTCTTGAAAAAAAAAAACTGTACCCTGAAATTGAACATCTCAATGTTTATGGTCTGGCAAAAGAAAATCTAAATAATAAAAAAAAGAAAAATTGGCCACATTTTTTGCAGCCTCTACTAAACCTTCCTTAATTTTTTCATCTGTCCCTGCTGTGGGAAATAATACCCACGGCATGATGCCACCATCACCATGCTTTGCTGTTTTTCTTTGTGCCGTTTTCTCATGTGTAGATCTGGGAAATTGTAATATCAAATAGTTCTCTGTTCAGTATTTGGTAGAATAATCTAATTAGCTTATTATCCTGTTAGACATTTGAGTTAATCACACCCATATAAAATAATTGTATTTGTTTATAAACTAAACAGCCATTGAAGACTAAATGTTGGGTTTATTATTAATGTAAACTGAATCCCATATATTGTTCCTCTTTCAGCTAAATGTGGCATCCTGATTCAGAAAGTGTGCTACTCTGTTCTGACGGAGATGGACGACAAATCAGAGTAGAGACAGATGCTAGAGACAGAGACTGAAGACACAGAGTCTGAACTCTGGTCCACCAGCTGCTGCTAAAAGGCCTGGAGGAGAAACATCTGGGCCCCAGCTGGACGCAGCTCTCTGGTCCATCAGTCATCTCCAAGTGATTGGGACTTTTCTCACGGTGGCAGAGGCATTTTCAGGGACAACATTAAAATGCACTCCAGAGGTCTTCATGCGACCGAACATCTCAGTCAAGAACCATTTAATCGTACCAAGTATTTTGTGCAAAATAACAGGGAAGTTTGATTTACCTTCCAGGCTATAAATTATTGATGAATTTGTTTAAGTGGGCATATTTGAAACTGAAGCACTGCTGACCACACAGCCTTGTTATTTGCACACAGAAAGGCAATAAATAGATTCAAGCGTTTTACAGGCGTTCACATGTTTTAAAGCGTTTATCAAATGTTTTTTATTGTCAGCTGTGAGATCTGTTAAAGGGCTATTTTTACACAAAAAAACTGCAGTCCGACTTCAACGCTGACTGTTAAGTCTGTTGGAGCTGGACCATCTTCAGCTGTAAAGATTTATTTATAATAAAAGGACTTTACACCTTTAAACGACTCAGGTTTGTAAATAAAAAGCTGAGATTTGGATTTTAGATAACAAACATTATCACCAAGGAGATGCTTTAAAGCTGTTTATATTTGTTTAGAATACATAGTCACATGGCCTCCCGGCACCTCCCCCCTTCTCTCCTGTTTATAAATATGTACACGGGTTCTCTACACAGAGGAGCTAAAAGCCAACTGGATTCATCCAATCGTGTTCTTCCACGGCTTCTCTTTGACTCCAGCTTCCTTTTGTTTTGTTGATGCTGCGGTGCTCCTTGGTGTCTGCTGCAGAGGATTGTGGGTAAAAGTCTGCCTTAGAGGACCTGCAAGACCAAAAACAGCAGTTTAGAAATATTTATAGTATACCATACACTATGGCATTTGCTGGGGAGAATTAAAAACAGTAATCTGTGGGGCTGAGCAATAAAACAATGAAAATATGCATCACTTTAGACGACACCTGATCAATATAGATATAAAATACGTCTGATTAAACATTGTATAGTTTTAACGGCTCCGATCCAGAAGAGCACAGCATTCTAAAAGATGTAAGCAGAAAAAAGGATCAAACTTCTCAATCTTTCATGGCTATGCTAAGCAATGCTGACAGGAATTGTCTGTCACACATCTTGTTTTGGTCTACATTCCTATTTTCTTTACTACGAGGAACACGTCTAGTGAAGAATTCACAACTTTATAATGATGTGAGCATCTTCATTTTGGTAAATGATCGTCTTTGGGTGAAGGTTTCAATCCACAAGACACTCTCTCCTCCAATTTGCTCCTATGCTACTCTGCCCTCAGCTACTCATTGGGAGATACATGCTGGGCGAACACAGATTGTGTAGACAGGTCTAAAAACACATTTACTTCTTAACATTGCATTTTGTTTTTCTCTTTCTAAAAATAATAAATTATTGTTTATTACTGCTTTAAAAGTTAAATTTTAAAAAGGGCCAGGGTTCCAATTTAAATTCTGTTTTCTGTTTTCCTTTTTTTTACCCCTCGCTGGTAATAATATATTAATAAAGATGAGACAAGAACACAAAGTTTTTATTAGGACCTAATAAATAAAGAATCAGACTTTGTTCCAAAATGATTTCTTGTTTCTTAAGGCGTTTCTTACTTAAGGTCAACCTATTAGTGTAACTTACAAAAACAGACGCATGGACTAAATTTAAACTCTCACACTCTTAAGTTTCACTGGAAGCACCATGCATTAGAAAAACATTCACCTAGCCTCCATCAGAATGATAAACAACTGTGTGTGATGGTTCTTGTCATCGAGCAAATCCCCACAAAACTTTTAAACTGCCAAACTACTGTTGCAGGTAGGCGAAGATTAGTAGATCCCTTCTGTGGCTTCAATATTATTTTTCATGTGAAAAAGACATGCAGGAGGCCAAATTGACCACCAGAGGGAGCTCTCACACTTCATGGGTAATACTGCTGATGTGGTTTTAACAGGTTTGGATTTTATAAACAAGAACAATCTATAAAATATCTTTCAGAAGTTAAACCCTAACCCTGCCGATCACTTAAATATAGATCATTTTTGAATTTTAGACGGCCATTTAGTTCGAATTAAAAAAGATTGAATCATATAAAAGACAATTTAATTTATTGCCATTGCGGTGAGATGGTTGTACCCCAAGTTTGGGGTCAAGGTTTCTAATTGTAAAAGATTAAAACATAGTTAGACATCTTCCAATTATTCTCTCTTTTCTATTGGGTTAAAAATATTTGGATTTATAAAACATATAAAGAGGGCTATATTTTTCTGTGTTTTACTGTACGATTGAAGTGTTTGTGGCCAAAGAGACGTTGGATCTTAGTGGGACTTAAATGGTTAGACAAAGAGGAAAGAAATAAGTAGATAGACAAGCAAGTCTTTCATCTTTCTGATCCAGCTCTAATGTTTCACTCATTTAATCGCCAACAGTAAGCTAATTAAAGGACCATATTATGGGGGTCAGACCTTTAGCGGCGAGGTCCAGATGATTCTTTATTCTTCTCTCCCTCTCTTCCAGTTGGTGAGCCAGCTGGGCGTTCTTCCATCCTGGAAACCAGTTAACACACAAATCAAACATTAACACTTTACTAACACTTCTAACTAGTCATAAAGCTTTTGAAAACATTTAGGTTCTATCTCACCGACCTTTCTTCATGCTCTCAATGAGTCCCTCATTCTGAGGCAGCGCTGTGGCCGGGTGTTTGATCCTCTCTGGGATCTTGAACTTCTGTCTGACTGCAGGATGCCTGAGCAAAGCCACTTGACCCAGAGAGAAGCAGTTGGAGGTCAGCCAGTAGGTGAACACCGCCTGGGGACACATGGTTCCACCACAGACTGTAAGCAGCAGAGCTTTATGACATTCTAATATCGCAGGTTTAAGTTCTGGGTTAAAACCACACTAACCGTGGGGAAATTGATGGTGAGAGGGAGGATGATGAAAGGCATGATTCTGAAAACTGTCTTCATGGCTCGCAGATTTGGGTTGTCGATACCAGACTCGGCACCAAGCTGAAAAGTTCAAATCAGTGTGATGAGTTTAAAGAAAGCTGCTGCTCTGATTCTGTTATGAGAGGAATAATAATGACTCTGAGGAGCCGTGAAGGTCATCTCACCTCCAGGATGAAGAACATCGTCCCAGTGACTGCAAGAGGGAGGATATAAAAAGGATCTGCTGCACTCAGGTCGGTGAACCAGAATAAACCTCCTGTCTGTAAACTGGGCACCGGCAGATACGCCATCTTCCTCAGAGCGATGAAGAACGAGATAAAGACTGGAGCCTGGAGGGGATCCACAAGTGAAACTCAGAGTATGTAGACAGGAAGTTAAAAACAAAACAGAGGAAAAACACACAGAAGCTGCTTGTATCCAACGCCAACATAAGATGCTCTGAGCAAGTCACAGTTATGTTTAATTATATGGAGTGATGTCACCTCTGCTCCTAACATCAACTACTAACAACAGCTCTTGCAGGAAGGCAACAATTAATATGTTTTAGGTTCTTTATATATCTTATCTCATGATTTTTAAGCCACTTTCACACTGATTGTTCCCAGGTTTGAACAGGTTTTTCGGCCAGTGGGAATGGTAGTAGGGGGGATAATTAAAGGTTAGTTGCAAAGCATTAATGGCAGCAGGATGGAAACAGTCCACAAAAAGCTCATTGAGGCATCTCAGTGATGGGTCCTTAAATGCGGGGTCGAACTCATAGAGCAAACCCTGTGTCTGTGCGCGTGTCGCTACAAGAAAGTCCCGAGACCGATACAGGAGCTGTTCCAAACTGACTGTCACCTTAAACTGTGTTTCAAACGGGATGAACCTGCTATAAGAATCTGTAACTTTTTGAGTTTCATCATCAAATTCATCCAAAAAATCTGGAGCAGCCACCAAACAATAAAAAGGCTTCAGCCTCATATCAGAAAATAAGTTATTCGGTTCAATGTTCTTAATATGTCATCATGTTTTTTTTCAGTTTGCACTTGATTCATCTGAATCTAAATTCATTTCAAATTGAATCTTAGTTTACTGCTCTTACAGTATTTATTTTCTTGAATAAAATAAAAAGGAAACATCCTAGTCCACAAACATCCTCATTCAACTGTTCAAATTATGATACATGTTTACATTACTTATCCACTGTATATGAAATACTTAAGATAACTTTAATTCAAAAGAATATATGAAATAATGCAATACAACATATAATGGCTTATCATTTTATACACTAGGTCATCCAATCAGTGTCAAATAGGCCGCCTGCAGTGATTTTAAAGGTCCAGTAGGTGTCAGTATTCACTGAAACAGCATCAACACAGCAATGGAAACCCTTCATGACACCTCATCTATCCCCTTAACAAAGCATCTTAAATATCAATGAGGTGACCTACTTAGTAGGAGATTTATTGTGAAATATTTAAACCACAATTTGGTGTTTAAATTAGGTTAAAATTTAACAATAGAATAATTGAATTTCAGCATTTATTAACTGATTTGAATTCATCCATGTCTTCATAGTATATTAAAAATAGGATTTCATACCTCAATTCTAATGCTCAGGGAATGTTTTTGGAAGAAGGTGATCCAGTGTGCCAGTTTCCCCATCCTCCTTGAATCACCAAGTTAGACCCCACCAGTTGCTTAAATCTAAAACAATATCACCCCACCAAAAAAAATTGGGAGGTTGTGAAACGCCTCCACATTAAAAGGCAAACTGACCTGGACCAAAGGAACCATGAAACCTCGTAGGGGATTTACATCATGTTTCTTCTGGAACAGGTTCAGATCAGAGTACGCTTTGGCAACTGCAAAGATTAACAATCAGATCTGAATGAGTGAGACGACTTAAGAACAGAGAGGTGAAAAACACAACAGAGGGTGAGGACCAAACATACATTCATATTTATTCCCACTCTGCTTGGCCTCGTTCATCCTGTTGGTGAGTTTGGTCATCTCGGGCAGGACGTTGTTCAGTTTGGCTGCCTCTCTCTGACCCTTCACTATGACGGGAAACACTGCCAAACGGGCCAGAACCGTCCCTAGAGTCAACAACAACAAATAAACATAAATATCAAACACAGATCAGCCTATCTGGTTACAAGTTAAGAAAATAAACAGATATCCTAAAAACAGAGACAGCTTACATAAAAGGCTAAAGTACTGAAAGTTTTTGCTCACCTAAGACTATAGCCCCCCACCAGGGTAGGCCCAGATCCATGTGAAAGAACTCCAAAATGTTCTGGATCACACCCACTGGAGTGTAGCTTCCTAGTCCCAATTCTACCAGTCTGGGCTCTGCAGCCACAGCCTGCAGGACGTCTGCTGCAACCGGGGCCACATCACCCACCTGCTCGATGACCGGCTGTGTTGGAAGAGCTGAGGAGTTTATGGACAGAGGAGCCGCCGCCGAGACGCTTTCAGCTGAGATCTGATGGTATCAGTTTTACAGCGTTAGGATGGAAAACAAAAGAAAAACTTTTTAATGGACTGCATCTCATCT